TTCTGTCAGTGGTAGGACACTTCTGAAAATATAAGGCATAGTCACTGAGAACAATAAGACCAGTAAATAACAAAAGAAAAAGCAGGAGAAAGAATTATCAAAATCACTATCAAATTTAGCAAGAGGATCATAATAAGCTTGTGGTTTTTAGCTTAGCCCCAGTCCTGTGACTCCCTAGCTTCTGTGCAGCTGCAACTTTCAGGGATGTGTCTGTGAACTTTCCATTTATTGAGAAGTTTTAATATTCCAGATAACCTGATAAGAACTTTACCATTCTAAAAAAATACTCAAAAGATAAAATTCTCACTGTATATAAGAAAAATGGAGGCTCTGAAAATTAAGTCATTTCACAATATTTAACTTCCAACTGAAAAGTGTATGAGATGAGTCTGCACCCCAATGTTATATACTCCACAATCTAGTCTTATGACAAATCCATAAGACACATGCTATCATGGCCCTGGCCAAAGCCCATACAGACATTATTAGTTGATCATGAGCTCTTCCCTTTGAGACTGGAGATCACAATGGAATCCCTCTATTATTCTGGGCAGCAAGTATTGGTTAATTATAGCTGACATTCAATGTCACATCTATAAGCTACCCTTGCATCATCACTTCCTGCTTAACACCTTCATCTGAATGGCGACAATGAAAAAGAGTTAACTGAATGTTGATTAGTGCTACTTTACAAAGACTGCTAAGTAACTCCCCAAAATGGAATTTCTCTGAGATGTGATGTGATGGTTCAGAGGCTGCAGCCCACCTGCCACTTATAAAGGAAGAGGGGATGCTGTTTGAAGAGCCCAGGGCTCTCTGCCACCATGCCAGTTATGAAGCCACTGTTTCCAAAGATGTGATGCCGCTGTGATGGTCTACTGCTTCCCACAGGAGGAATACAGTGCTCTACTTCATGCCCATGGCGAGGTTGAGAACCACCCCCTCCTCTCTGAGGGGTTAAGTTTCCTTCTCAGACAGCATGCTCTCACAGGCATAATGACCGGGTTGAGGCTGGGAGGGCCCTCAAATCATGACACGGTACAGATTTAGGAGAGCAACAGGTCATTACCCTGGGTCTCAGACTGTAACCAAGCCCAGTTGGTTCACCTCTTTGTGCCCCCAGGATGCCCACCTTCTCCCCCTCTAGTCCACATATAATAATGCTTTTCTTCTTTCTCTTTCTTGAGAGAAGGATTAAAGAGCTGTGTGGACACACCCAACACATTGTTAGTGAAAGTGCAAGAGGAGACCATGAACCCAGTCATGAATGAGCAGAATCAAAAGTTGAGAGGGAGGTAGAGGAGAGCAATGTTATTCTTTAAATAGGCCTATTTCTATGATAGAACTTGTAGACTTCATGAATAGGAGCTCCATATTGTATTAATCGCCAATATTCCCCAGCATGGTCAAAACCAGCAACAAATCAGTTTATTGGAGTCAAAAATACACTTTGAGAGAAAGAGCAGGCTATTCAGACTCCACAAATAAAGCAAGGTGTAACACATTTGGGAAGGTGGTCAAAGGGTGTGGGTAATTGCCGAGGATACACAGGAGAGAAAAAAGAAACAAGGCACAGTCTAGGCAGACAGCCAAGGCAGGAAGATGGCAAGATTGAAGAGAATTATTTCCACCATGACTATGATGAAGAGTTGTGTTTGTGAACACTGACACCAACAGTTTAGACTTTAGAGTCTAATCTCTAGCTCTGAAGACTCCATGCTTACCTCCTGTTAGCTGAGTGGCCTTAAGCAAGTCACTTACATTTTCTAAGTCTCGATTCCCCCATCGATAAAATGGGGAAGTTAATACTTTTCTCACAGCACTGATATGAGAGCTCTGTGTAAAATATTGGCACCCAAATAGCTCAATATACTTATCATTATTATCTAAGTATGTCCACAACACAGCGTTTTTTAAAGTCAAAAGCTAGTTATTAAATGATCCCATTCTATACTCATAAAAAGAAAAAAAGAATACGTAAAAATTGGAAAGATATGAACTTCAACCTGTTATCAGGAACAGATGACTTTTTCCTGCTTTATATATTTCTATATCATTGGGTACTTATCTTTAAAAAAAGTTCTCATCTTTATAAGAAAACAAACTAAAAATGAACCTGATCCAATGACTTCTTGCCCCAAAGTTTAGGGCATAATATGAGTCTAAAGGAGTCTAAAGTGGCCACAACATTCTTGCTAAAGAATCAGATGCTCCCTCGAAAGGCAAACCTAAATAACCAAAAAAGAAAATAAGCCCATTTAGTAAAAATAATGAAAATGAAAGGGAGGATGGACATGTTCATTAATATGAGATGGGCTAAAATGGGAGGGTGAGACATAGCAACACAACAGTAACTATGTCATGTGCCAAGAGTAGAAAAGCTCCTCCTACCACCATTTTTTTTTTAAAGAATTATTTATTTATTTATACAAGCACTGGGTACAGTCAGAAGTGCGGGCAGGTGAGAGAATTCACCAGAACCAGAGCAGGGAACAGAACAGGCAGACCAATGAAGTACACTGCTGAGGGGAGCAGCGGGCGTGGCAGGAGAGGTCTGTGTGTGGGACCCTCGCCAGTGGCGGGGATCAAACCGGCATTGCAGAGGCTGCTGGCAGCTTTGCAGCCCAACGCTCAACTGCTGTGACATCAGTGGAGGCCCACCTCCTACCACCATTTTTAATGGAATAAGTAGTTTATTATTTTCTATGAAAGCAGTTTATTTCTCTGCATGTGGCAATGTATGGAATACACATCAGGTGGTTGAAATTTTGAAAAATAGAAATGTATCGTAAAGACTTTATGGGCACTGATATGTATTTACCAAGCGAAGAAGGATTTAAATGGTGGACTTTCACTCAAGTATCTGAGCATTAGAAAATGCTTGCATAAATAGATGAACTTGCTGATTGGATTGAGGGTTTTGAAACTGTCAATCTGAGAAGCTGATTTTAACTGAACAGAAAAGGAATAAGGAATTTTATGCATTATTCTAATTGCAATAAGTATTGAACATAAGATTTTTCAACCAATACTCGAGCAAAAACAACTCCCTTATTCTTGTATCTTCTGAAGAGGATGCTGATAAGGAATAAAACATCTGAAAACTCTTCCATGGTAATTGTTTCTGCCTGGGTAAATGAAGCCATGAATTAGTATTCTTAAGTAACTCTGGTGTTGGAGGATCTACCTCCCAGGTGGCTTTCCACTTGACTACGTGATCCTGGCAGAGGTCTCTATTCTTTTCCACCCGGCCACCCACAAGGTTTCTTTGCATCTTCCAGCATGGTTGCTGGGTCAGACCAACAAAGGTTGTCTAAGAGACTAAAGCAGGCATGGCAGTGCCTTTATGACCTAGCCTCAAAGTCACACACTAGTGTCAGAAGTCAGCACTGGCCCTGATTCAATGTGGGGGTAAATATAAATATACAAATATAAGAGGAGGTGAAGATACTCAGGGGCCATATTGAAGGCTGGCTACCAGTATAAAAATGGACAGTTTTGAAAGTTTAATGGAAGTGGTATTGAATAGAGATGATACTCATGGCAGAGGTTGTTAATACATGCATTATAGATTGAAAGTTATGAATGATCAAAATATATACAAAACTACATACAACCCTCTCCTCAGTCAGGGGGTAGGAGCACCCTTAAAATGTGTCTAAGTTCTAGTTTGGACCCATTTCATAGTTATTTCTAAGCTTGGTATCCTCAGCCCCAGGATAAGTGAAACATCAGTGAATTGACTGATAGCTTCAATATATTATTTATAAGAGTACCTGCTATGTGTCAGGCACAGTGCTAGTCCATGGAGTTCCAAGTCTAATGAAGACTATAAATATTTACCTGGTTAATGAATTATATTTCCTCACAAGAAAAATTGTAAGAGACCATGAGGACAAAGGTTAGCTAGGGAGTGTCAGGGAAGTGATAGTAAACTGAAAAATAATGAACAAAAGATGCCCAGACAAGTAGGAGCAAGAAGGGAGTTCTGGAGATGGGATGACAATGACAAAGGCCTTGAATGAGAACTATGAGAGGGTAACTCTTCTGAATCTCCATCTACCCAGATTATCCACAGGAAGTTACTGATAACTGTGATTCACTTGACTCATGTTTGACTATTGGGACAAAAGTCACTATTTCATACCAAATTATTTCTCTGTTCTGGATAAATGCATGCCGTTGTTTCTCAGATAACTAACACATCTAAACAGAATTGTAGGGCACATCTTTGGAGAAGAAAAGTTATTATCTCAGAGAACAGGAGAAAAAAATTTGAATTAGAACAGAACATTTAAATGAGAATTTTATTGCTTAAAGCTCTGGTTCCTTTCAATGCCTGAAATTAAAAAGTTCAAGAAATCGTGGAATGTGAGTATTTTTATCTCATGACCATTGTCATCATAGCTCTCATTCACAGAGGTAAGTAACACAAGGAGATACTATGCTTATTTGTATGGCTGAGCAACTTTATTCCTTTTTTATGTTCTGAAATAAACCCAGATACCAACACCATAAATGAACAAAGCAAAAACATGTAATGGTCCCTTTAAGATAAAACTGGCAGTGTTTAACTAGAAATTACCGACTGTTCCAGAAATGACATTTTGTGTTCTGCAGTAAGGAGAACTTTTTTGTGTGTATTTTCTTTCCTCCCATTCGGATACAACAATGAGTCACCATTACCTGCAAAGCTAGACATGTAGATTTGCCTCTTGTGCCAGAAAGGCAAGATGCTAGTTGACTGGGATTTAAATGAGAAGGGTAAAAATGTTTAATTTACAGATTTAATTAAACATGAAAGCTTCCAGGAGGAAAACATGTCTCCCAGGCCTCATTCCCCACTTTTTAAAATGTCTCTATTGATCTTTATTCCAAAGAGGCTGCATACATTAGAGAACTAATTTTTAATGATTTGTGTAAAGTATCAATTTGCCCTAAATCAGAAAAACTGTGTGATGAGGACTGGTACAGACAAAACTTTTTTTTTTTTTCTCTAGCCAGACCACACCATTAAAGGAAACTTGTTTAATTTCTTGATATGAAGGCTGTCTCCTGTGCACACCTATCCTTGGCCTCCATGAGGCACTGTGAAGGTAAGGGAGGAGAAACATAAGCTCAGAGTTTTCCTAAGAGGACGAGGATTACATACAATGTACAAGAGGCTGGAGCTACCTCCAAAGACAACCCCTCTCTCCAGTCCTTTCCCCCCAAATGAGGTATTTCTAGCCAAGAAACTTGATTCTTATTTTCATAATGCTTCAGGCATGCATAGCAAAGAGCAGCTCCTTCTGTCCCTACAGTGTAGTCGAGGCCCCTCCATTGGAGCTGAAAAGTTAGAGTTTCACCTCTTTGTTTTTGTGAAACTGAGTAGTCAGAAATAAAATGCAAGGGTAAACTCATACCACATCTTTTCAAAAATAAAGGGGAGAAGTAAATAACAAATGTGGACACATCTTTTCGAAAAAAAAAATCTCTGTGAAGCGTGTGTGTGTGCATATTTGTGTGTGTATTCATTGTGTTCTTTGGATATGGCTGAATTGCCTACAACTTACTCCATGATCTCTTTTGTGTCTGCTTATTCAACTCTAATTATGCTTCAAGTCCTGAATCCCAATTTTCTCAATTTTACTGAAATGTGTCCAAACGTGATTCCCATGACTAAGTGACAAAGGAAGGAAATGCTCTTGATTGTTGGAGGTTGTGGTCAAATGAAATAAACTAATGTTTTTAGAGCAACAAGTGGAAAATGGTGGTGAGGGCTGAACCCCAAATGAAGAGGAAGCACATTTTCTTGTGTTAAACCTGAGGTTTCTTTTTATGAGAAAAGGGGAGAAATCCTGATGGTGAGTGGGAGAGTTTTCAGTTTCTCTAAAGGGATTTTTTTCACAGGCATGTTTTTCATCTGAAAATATTACCTAGATGAGAGTATTATTAGCTAGAGAAAATATTACCTAGAACAGAGTTCTAGTCTTGCAGACCAGAACTGTTTGTAATTCCATGTTCTGCACTGCTAGTCCTCAACGAATGAAAGTGATAAGAAGTGGAGTCCATTCAATGTTCTAGTACCTGCAGTCAAGGCCCCCATCTTTTTTTTTTTTAAGATTTATTTATTTATTTATGCAAGCACTGGGTGCAGTCAGAAGCGCGGGAGGGTGACAGGATTCACCAGAGCCAGAGCGGGGAGCAGAACAGGCAGACTGACGAAGTACACTGCTGAGGGGAGCAGTGGGCGAGGCAGGAGAGGTCTGTGTGCCATGTGGGACCCCGGCCCTGTGGCCGGGGATCAAACCGGCGCTGCAGTGGCTGCGGGCAGCTTCACAGCCCAGTGCTCAACTACTGTGCCACTGGGGAGGCCCAAGGCCCCCATCTTGACCACAGACAGGCATAATGGGCAAATGTATGCACTTCTAAGTGTACATTTGCATTTGTGTCTGTATATATATATTTCTTTTGTGCTACCTGCAAAAAGTCTTCTAATCTCTGTTTTTTGGTGGAATTTCTTTAATGTCTTGGAGCTTCAATACCAGTTTCATCTTTACTTAGAGTGATATTTTTATCATTTCTCAAATTCATTCCCCACAAAGGCATCCAGAAAGGTAGTGTGAATTTTTCTTTCTGTTTGCTCACCATGCCTCCCTTCATTTAAAAACAATCTTCTTTAATTTGAGGATGCGTCCTTCTTTTGGCTTTTGGCTCTAATGAGGGTTGCTGAAGAGCACAACCCACTTACCTGGTTACACGATGACTATGTGACCCAGCTGGGCCAATTATCACGCCCCATTGGGGCTGATGTGAGAGCCACATGTGATCGACTTAAGCCAATGAAAGTCATGTTTGCCTCTGATACAGAGGTACCCTTCACTCTGGTGATGAAAGTAGGAAGAAGTGAGCCTGGAAGCTGCCATCAAACCAGCCTCTGGGCAAGAGAGAAAGCCGATGAGGAAATGGAACCAACAGTCAAAAGACTCAGAACAGAAAGAGGGAAAGAATAAATTGGGAGGCCTTTCTCTGGCATTGTTCATGCTGCTCTTCTTCAAATATGTGAGCTATCTGATGATTCTTCCAACTAATTATCTTTTTAACTCCTTTGGTAGTTTAGGTTGGGTTTACTGTTCTAATGAATTCAGGCTCTAACAGTGTAGGTAGGCACCTTCCACAGGATGCCATGTGTAGATTCCTACCGTATGTGGGTACATTAAAAGGCCACTTGTTTTTTTTAGCACATGAACTTTAGAAATAAAAGAGGGAATACTAAATTCAATGTCTAAATTTTATTGTTAGTGCTAGCACAAATAGTGATACTCTATCAGGTCTGCTAACATTTGAGTTTTTCCTATGCAAAATAATTAAAATATAGACCAATTCAGTTTTATGGAAATACAATTTGATCCACATATAATTTTAAATCCTCTAGTAGCTTCACTGTTAAAAGGTGAAATTAACCTTAATATTTTACTTAAACCAAGATATCAAAAAGTTGTAATTTTATCATATAAACAATGTAGAAATTATTATTATTATTATTATTATTTTTGTGTGGGACCCTTGCCGGCGGCCGGGGATCAAACTGGTGCTGCAGAGGCTGCGGGCAGCCTCACCACCCAGCGCTCAACCGCTGCGCCACCAGGGGAGGCCCAACAATGTAGAAATTATTAAAGGAATATTTGAACAGTTTTTTGCACTAAATGTTCAAAGTCCAGTGTGCATTTTAGCCTTATAGAACATCTCAATTTGGACTAGCCACAATTTAGGTACTTAATAGCCACATGTGACTATGGATACAGCCATATTCCCTGATTTCAATTTTGGTTCTGTCACCAACTAATTCTAAGACCTTGGGGGACTGATTTATTTGAGCTTCAATTTTCTCATCTGTAAGATGGGGATGATAATAACCATCCCTTTATCATAGGTGGTGGGTGAGGATATAATGGTGATGAAGATATAGTGAGGATACAGTAATGTGTGAAGTTCCTCCCACACCAAGCTGTACGCTAGTGGGGAGCATGGAAAACAAGGTGATATCAACAATGATTAACAGAATGTTAGATAGTGCTAGAAAATATGCCAGGTTATTAAGATAGCAAATAACCACAGAGGTGATCGGATAAAGGACCTGCTTGAAGGGGGCTATCATGGAGGGCCTGAAAAGATGGCCAGCTCCCTGCAAGCTCAGCCACATCATGATCCAAGGTAGGAGGCCAGGATCTATGTCCAAGGGGACCAATAACTGTCTTCCAGAAAGAAAACACAGAAATAAGTATCATGGCAACAATTCCTATATTGTAACTAAGTGCCAGAGGTCAACATTCAGTCATTTCCTAAATTTCAGTGTGAGGAAATGGTGGCAACAGCTGGCTCGTGTGCTACATACTCTTCTCATGCAGCCTCTGCCACTGTTCCACCCCCACCCTCCATGGAAGAGAAATAAAGAGAGAAAAACTCCATAACATAAGGAGGTGCAAGCCTCATTGGCATGAAAAAAAATTGGAGCAAGATAATCTCAAGCAACTCTGATTTGGGAATGGGCTGATACAGGTGCCATGGGGCAACCCCAGAAGATATTCCCCACAAGCATGGTGTTTTGGGACAGTCCTGAGCTTGTGAGGTCCTGCAGAGACACACTCTCTGGGCGGCACACCTCTTGCTGTTGCTGTTGTTAAGTGCCAAATTGTCCTGGCTCAAGGCTGGGCCCGGCTGCTGGATGTCTTGTTTTTATCCCCCCTGCCTGTTTCTCTTTGAAAGCAAATTGCCTCCCCAGGCTGTTTATGACATGTCTCAGGCAGCTGGCCTGGCAGCCTCTAGTGTAATGCAGGGTTTGCCATACAGGTAAGAAAGCTCTATCACAGCCACAAGGGGTTCAGGAAAGGGTTTGTGCCAAGCCCCTGCTCAGTACCTTGTATACATCTGCTCCTTTCATCCTTCTCAAAACCACCCTAAGAGATCTATTGCTGCCCACATTTTGTGACAAAGAAAACAGAGGGCCAGAAAGGTTAAGTCATTTCCTCAAAGCTACACAGCAATTAAGTGGTCACTCCAAACCACTGCATATTTTCCCTCTTCTGATTTGAGTGGGACAGTTTAAGACGGAGAGGGGGGAAATACACTGCAAGCCATGTGACAATCTTTGAGTCTCTCATAGGTAGGCAACTACAGCAAGGAAAGAATTTGAACTTCTACTCAGACTCTGACTTCACATGCCTAGGTCACTGCATGTAGATTTTCCATCTTGTTCCCAAATATGCTCCAAAGATAACAGATAATTCATATAAAAGATGCACTTTGAGGGCATAGAGAGTGCATCACTGGGAACAGAATCCAGGGAAAGGGAAGGAAGAATTTGGATCAGTACTGCAAAGCCAGATGCTGATTGCATTAACAGATGCCTTTAGGAGAGTTTCAAGAAGTTCAGGGTTATAAGATTGAGACACAAATTTTAACAAGATACAGAAAGCAAGAGCAGATCACAGTATTTATTCTCAAAAGATCATACTTCCATCTGCCGCACAGATTTACAACTTGATAGCATAGGATCTATGCACACACCATGGAAGTCTTGTTCCCACACTTTTGGCAATGCTTCTCCCCCGTCTGCTACTTTGTCCTCTCTAGCTGACATCATACAACAGTGTCTTGTGTTGCTGTGTAACAAATTAGCCCCAAACAGATTACACATTTCTTTTCTCATAGTTTCTGAGGATCAGGAAATCAGGTCAACTTAGCTAGGTCCTGAGTTCCAGCATCTCTCACAGGCTACCACTGAGGTGCTAGCAGAAATCCTCTAAACAGGAACTGGGTCTGCTTCCCCACTCACTCAATGGTTCTGGGCAGGATGCAATTGCTGTGGGTGGCTAGATGGAGGCTTTCTGTCATCATTGGTTGATGACTGACAGCAGCTAGTGCCTTGCTATGTGAGTGTCTCCATGAGGAGCTCCAGCAGAGCAAGTGAGAGAGCATGGGGAAGATGAAAGTCACAGTCCTTTGTAACACAATCATGGAAGGGACATCTCATTGTGTTTGCTGTATTTAATTTGTGAGAAGTAAGTGGTCATATCCAGCACACAGTTAAGGGGAGGGGATTATACAGGGGTGT